GTTCCCTAACTACAAGAGTATCTGTTTAAATACTACTCTATTTAGAATAATTGTAATATTAAATGATCCTTTAAATTGTAATGGTTTGTCTGAATTAATTTAGTAGGTATCACACTCTTGCCACGACACTAGTTTCTTTCAACTAAGACAGTTGGCTAAAGTAAAAGCATTTGTCTCTAGACAGCATTTTGAAACGCTTATTCATGCTATTGTAACTCGTTGTATCTTGGGGTCGGTGAGTCTTCTATCACTCGCCTCCAGATGGTCCAAAATGCAGCAGCGCGTCTTTTAACATGTACAAGAAAATATGAGCATATCTCTCCAGTTTTGGCCTCCCTACATTGGTTACCTGTGCATTTTCAGGTCCATTACAAAATTTTACTCTTTGTTTTTAAATCTCTTCATGGCTCTGCACCATCCTACTTATCTGATTTGCTTCATTGGCATACACCCACACGCTCTCTGAGGTCAGCAAATCAGTTTCTCTTGAGTGTCCCAAGAACAAAGCGTAAGCTTAGAGGCGATCGAGCCTTCGCAGTTGCTGGTCCTAAACTCTGGAATGATTTACCGCTGTCCATTAGACAAGCCTCTACCCTGTCTGTTTTTAAGTCTCTTTTAAAAACTCATTTATTTTCCCTGGCATTTTGATATTTTATTTTTGTGTTGATTTTAGTCATTTTTTTATATTGATAATATTTTATATTGTTGTTTGTGGGTTTATAATTTATACTGTTTTATTGCAATGTACAGCACTTTGGTCCACTCTGGTTGTTTTTTAGTGCTTTATAAATAAAGTTGGTATGGTATGGTATGGTCTTGTTATGGGCTAGGTTTGACTTGAAATTAGGGTTGTATACATCAACAGACGTTTGATTGGTCTGACGTAATTGATGCGGGAATGATCGCAGGTAGCCTATTGTTCGGTAAGGCAGCTGTTGCGTTGTATTATAGGATTTGTAGTTTGTATGTTATCGGTGCTTTATATCGCCGGGCCATTAAAAATATATATATAAAATGATCTTGTGGGCCAGATGTAATTGTACGCTGGGCCGGATGTGGCCCGCAAGCCTTCAGTTTGACACGTGATCTATAGCTTCAGGTTTGAAACCAGGCTGCGGTTCTTTCTGTCACCACCAGATGTCAGCAACAACCAGTGCAGGGACTCCTCACATCTGTTTCTGCTGCCAGCTGTGTAGAAACCATTCAAGTTAATAGTCACCTGTTCAGATCTGTCGTCAGTACTGTGAGTTATGGGATGTGTCCTGTAAAAGATAAGGAACATGGTCCTGCAGTGAGCCTGTTAAATAGGATGTTTGAGGAGGAATAAGTCATGCAAATGATGTGTCCACATCTGATTTCCTTGTTCGCAGGAAGGGTGAGCAGCCAGTAGTTTTGCTCATTAATAACCAGGGGGTCATGTGATGAGCTAAACACAGAAGTTAGACCGTCTGTCTTCCATGTTGCACGCTTCACTGCAAATCTGCCAAAATTCACAAATCATTTCACCTCATTTAACCTCAGAATTATTACACTTCTCCTTTTTCTACTGCGGGCATGTTTGGTAGGTTTGCATTTACTATTTGCTTCTTAAACTAAAACCTGTATTTTGTTGTTGTGTACTGCACTGCCAATGACAGATACCATGTAAACTAATTGGTATAAAAACATGAATCCTGTTGTTTTGTGTTATATTTTAAGTGATTTCGAAGCTCAGCAGACAAAGTTTCTGGTGTGGATTTGAAGTACGGAAGTTGCTTCAGAAGACTGAATGCTGTGTCAGTCTGTAAACGTCTGGATTAAAACGACTGCAAAGTGACAGCTGTATTATATTTGTGTTCCAGGGAGCCGGTTTGTGTCTGTGGTGGCGGTCAGCATGTGGCTGAGTGTTTCAGGTCAGCTTGTTCACTCACTTACTAAATCATTTACCATCTGAACTTTGTTTAGAAACACCACCAGAAGGACAGTGTGTTAGAGCTACACTTCCAACTGTTCACTCCCTGACTACAGTGTTGTATAAAGAAAAGGTCCAGCTTGAAACGTCAGGCTGAACCTTCTCTTCATGCTTGTTTTCCCACCTTCTGTTCATAATGACATTTGCTTCACAGGTGCTTCGGCTGCCTGTTCTGGTGGTGTAGGCCTCTTCATTGCAAATCCCCTGTAACTTCAGCACTAAATCAAAAGCTAACATCAACAACGCAGGACCGATCTATGGTGTGTGGATCAAAACTGACGCTAATTTTGGTGCCTCTCCAAACAATGTGATCTACAACAGTAGCTTGGCTGTTAATACCTATCCAATGAATATTACTGGAAACCTGAATCAGATGAACTGCACCACTCTATTTTCCAATTTAACCACAAGTTACACAGATGTGTACTACTTCAGGATGGAGAACAGTTCATACAGGGCAACAGCTTCTTGTGATCCTCTTCAAATAAATGTTAGAGGTGAGTGAGCTTTATTCCCATTGGTTAGTCTGTAACACTACTGTGGCTTTTCTGGTGTGACACCGGCCTTCACTGTGGAACTAATGTTGTCATATAAAAAGGTTGTAACACACTCCTCTTTAATGTAAAATGTGTGATTTGGATCCAGATTCTCTGACCCCCACAATAGAGATCTCAGGTGCTACAAAGGAGGCGGAGTCTGTCAATGTGACCTGCTCAGCTTCCAATCCCTGTCCACACTTCCCTCCTAACCTCTCCTGGAGTCTCCAAAGGGACTCTCGTGCCATAACACAGGAAAACACAGATGGAACCTTGACAACTACACTCCAGGAGACCATCACTCTGTCAGACACACACGATAGAAACAACATCACCTGTACTGCCACATATCCTGTGAATGGAGGCCAAGGTGTAAAGACAGTGGAGACTGCAGTGACTCTCAACGTGTCCTGTAAGACAACCACATTGTTGTTGATCCTGCCAGTGCATAGAGCTCATGGGATGTCATCTGATTTTAATTAACCAAGTGAGTGTCATGTTTTCCTCAGACATGCCCAAGGACACCTCAGCATCCATCAGTCCACCAGGTGTGGTGTCAGCAGGTAGCTGTGTGAACCTGACCTGCCGCAGCAGAGCCAGGCCTCCTGTCAGCCGCTTCACCTGGTTCAAGACCAGCAAAGACGGACCCGTGAACGTGTCTGAAGGAGACGTTTACAGCTTTAATGCCACAGAAGGGGGAGTTTATTACTGCATGGCCACAAATGATCTTGGGAGTCAGAAATCATCAGAGATCCATCTGACTATAGAAGGTAAACCACTGCATTTTGCAGTGGAAGGACAGCAGCTGCTGTCGAACAGATTGTAAGTGGGAGGGGCCTTGACTGTACAGGAATGCAGAAACATAGGGGCTGGGCAGAAAGAAGAACGCAAGAGACTTTCATTGCATTTCAAAAGAGTGTATAAGGCATTTTATTCTTCCTGACCTATAGTATTGTCTGTTTCTGTAGGGTGTGTACCATGGAGGGCGGTTGTCGGAGGGATCATTGCGATTGCTGCACTCGTCTGTGTGGTCGTCGCCATTTGGTAAGTGTCTTAAACCAGCGTTACACCCAGATCCATGCTGTTTTTCTGACTAAATGTGAAGTGTTACTTTCGTAACTGGGAGTTCACAGGTGTGTTTCAAGTTCCTCAGGGCTCTGTTACTCGGGTCACTACTGTTCTGTCCACACGCTACCACCAAACTCACATTGTACAAAGAGAACCATGATATCCATCTTTATGCAGATAACACTGTTTTTTCACTACAAATCTAAATCATGTGAATGACGATTTCACAAAAGATTTTGGAAGCTTACGTTGATGAAACCTTCACTGTCACTGTCACCTTCAAATGTGAAGTTGTGCTGCGGAAACCAGACACGATAGTGAATGGTAAATGGACTGTATTTTATATAGCGCTTTCTGACAGTGTGTTGCACTGGCCAAAGCGCTTTACAGCGCTTTACAGAAGATTATACACCATTCACCCATTCACACACAACATTCACACACCGATGACGACAGGCTGCCATGCACCAGCGCTAGTCAAGCCACCGGGAGCAATTCGGGGTTCAGTGTCTTGCTCAGGGACACTTAGGCATGCGGGGAGACCGGGAGTTGAACCACCAACTTGCTGGTCAGGAGACGACTGCCCTACCTCATGAGCCACAGCATTGAAGTCAATGTACAAGTGTTTCACTGCAGTTACATAAAATATCTATGATATGGTTACATCACATAACAACTGTAGCTCACTGTCCGACCTCTCAGACTTAGGATTAAGTCAAAATGCTGCAGCCAGACTTCTCTGTAGATCCAAAATGACTGGCTTTAATGTATTTATTGCAACTGTATAATTTTATTTTTTCTTTTTCCAGGCAGTTAAAGCTGAGACATCAGACACAGGTGGGAAAACATTTTAAAGTACAGAAGTGTGTGACTGAGCTGAGCAGGTTCCTCATTAGTGAGTTAAATGTGAAGAAACAGGAAACAACAAATCATCCTGACAGCAGTTCACATGAACAGTCCAGTATCATGTTTATAGTGTTCAAAATGTAAAGTGGAAGGTCATTAATCTGAGCTGAGTGAGCGATGACAAAGTGAACTAACAGAAGTGGATAAAAGTTCGTTCTCATTTGATCCATTTTTCACAGAGTCCAACGGGCCAAGATCCGGCTCCTCAAGAACCAGCCAGACCAGCAGAAGAAAACATCCATTATGGGGAGATCAACTTCTCCAGCCTGAGAGCTGGAGCACGCACCAACTTGGTGCAGGACAGACAGCAGCAGGACACAGTGTATGCAGAGGTCAAAGTGCCCGGAACAGACACATGGATGTCTGACGGTGCAGAGGATCTCTACGCTCAGGTGAAGGGAAAAGTGAGTTCGTGGACATCTTTTATTACTCAAGTTTTCTATTATTACAGGGAAAGATTTCTGTGGTAGTAGATCCCCCGCCAGAGTTTTTGAGGGCGCACAGACCACATTTCGAGCGCTACTCAGTTTGCAACTCAGCATTTGAAACACAGGTAAGTGCAAATGCAGACGAGAGCGTAATCCAGGCCGTTTCTGAGGCTACGCGCTCAGGTGTCTCCACTGCAGTTTGTTTAAAGTGTGTCTGAGCCAAAAGGTTTGAAAGCGCTCTTCAGTCTGAAAGTCAGACTTTGAGAGCACAGGAACAGATATGTGAGAGTAGAATCAGGTTTAAGAGCAAGGGAGGATCCTCGCTGCTCAAATCTGTTATGCTCCCGACTGTCCTCGCTCTCAACTGACTGTGCTTACAAACCTGTGGCTGCTCGCTCTCAGATGAGCTGCAAACTGAGCGGCGCTCCACATGCACCCTCAAACATGATGATGGGGTTGTACTCCCATACACTGAAGCAGCAGCACAGACCAAACACCTGAACAGTCACTGCTGGATGAAGCAGGACCTCCCAGGAACACGGCCCGGTCGACAAGCTGTTGCTGCAGCTTTCCCCCATCTGGATCATCAGGTCACAGCTCGTCCTCTCACAGTCGTGTTCTCTCTCACAAAGATCATCACTTCCATCTGTTGAGAGAGAAGACAGACAGCGGCAGCCATAAATCAGGGTTTACAGTGACTTCAGACCAACGGTGGAGCAGCTGTGTAGTGTAGCTTCCTTTCAGCTTATGTTAACGAATTGGAGCGAACACATCTGAATGTGATCTGATTAGCTGACTGTTGTCTGTTCCTCTACCCAGGCCTGGAGCCTGTGAGCAGTGTCGCTGAGGAAACTGGAGGAGGCCAGACTGACCTCAGCCTTTCCACGAGAGCAGACAGCAGCTTCACCCCCGAGTCCTGCAGCTTGTTTCCACTCAGCACCAGCTCTCTGACATGGGAGGGGTTGGACTTCAGAGCCGAGGCCAGAGAAGCACAGCTGGTCTCTGACAACCTGCAGTGACTCAGTCTGAATAAAGAGTGAACCAACAGGATGCAGGTTAAAACCAGTCAGACACAGGAAGTGGCACAGAGCTCTCGTTAATGTGAACAATAACATGCGGCTGCCTTAGTAAAGATGTACTATAGAGGAGAATCAGAGCCACTGTAGAACTTTGAGTTCTGGCTTTACTGTTAGATTACTGACTTTTACCCCTCAGAATTCAAATTTCTGAATTTAAAATGAGGATTCTGAGGGGACAGGTCAGAGGTCAAAACACCGACAGTGGCTCTAATGCTCTGACTTCACATCTTAAGCTCTTTCTTGAAGAAATGAGAACAAATTGATAGATTTATAATCACTCACTGATGCTTCACTTTCATTGTAATGTTGTAACTGAAATATTCAAACCCAAGTTGTTGTAATAATACGTTCTGTATCTGCTCGTTTGCGGTACTTTAAAAACATTTTACTACTTTGTTAATTGAGTGCAGATGCTAATTTGATATGGGTTTATGTTATTGTCTGATTGATTACATGTGACTTTATTATTCTAAGGGAGAAATCTAAGAGACAGTCACTGAATCATTGTAAAAAAAAAAAAAAGACTATACCATTAACATCCTCACTGTGGACCAGCATGATATCAGCCTTATGTCTCCAGATTGTTGTCAGCACAGAACTAAAACATGGTATCTGACCTCAGAGTCTCCAGTCGACAGTGTGGACTCTCCAGAAAACCACACAGCTGCTTCACTGCTGGATCCTGCAGGTTGTTGTTACTCAGGTTCAGCTCTCTGACATGGGAGGGGTTGGACTTCAGAGCTGAGGCCAGAGAAGCACAGCTGGTCCCTGACAAGCTGCAGCCCCACAGTCTGAATAAAGAATAATCTGTCACTGTAAGTAATGTTTATAACAGGCGTTTGCATCAACTCTGGTGTGCTCCCACTGCAGAGCCCTGAGCCTGTGCAATCAGAGGTTCTGTTCAGGAGTCAGTGGGATTCATTCCCAGGACAGTCGAACAACTCGAGGTAATTACAGGAGTCTGTTAATTCAACATAAAACGTGTAGTGTCAGGCCACCTTAGAAGCTACACACCTTACCTGTTCTGACTTGGTCTCTCCACTTAGCACAATATGCTGAATGAATAAAATGCTCGTAGTTTTTAAACAAACAAAATGAGCCTATTAGCAGACTTTCCAGCATGCACTGTTGAAGAGTCTCCAGAGACTTGGCTGAAATTTAAAGAATCCATTAATGATGGGAACATTGTGGCTTTAATATGTGCTAATAAAGTGACACTCATCAATCTTATAGGTCTCTGTCTGAGACATCTAGGTCAAAGAACTTAAACCCAACGTCAACAGGTTGTGATATGTAGCACAACAAGCTCGCAAAGTGATCTAAACAGGACAGCAGGTCTGAGCACGCTCAGAGGTGTCTGGTGTACAGGAGCTACTATCAAGAGGCTGCTGGTGCGTATGTGACCATACAAAGATAAATTGGGTTCAGTGGTGGATTAGGAACCTAAAATATACAGTACGAACAGGAAGTGAACTGACCTCAGAGTCTCCAGGCGACAGTGTGGACTCTCCAGAAAACCACACAGCTGCTTCACTCCCGTGTCCTGCAGCTTGTTTCCACTAAGGTTCAGTTCTCTCAGATGGGAGGGGTTGGACGTCAGAGCTGAGGCCAGAGAAGCACAGCTGGTCTCTGACAACCTGCACTCCCTCAGTCTGAATAAAGAACAAACCATGTGACGTTAGAAGACCAAGTTCCTGCCTGAAACCATTCAGGGCTCAATCATCTGTTCAGAGCTGAAGAAGGTTTAGAAAGTAGAAGTTTATCCATCCATCTTCCTCCGCTTATCCGGAACCAGGTCATGGGGGCAGCAGTCTAAGCAGAGATGCCCAGACTTCCCTCTCCATAGACACTTCCTCCAGCTCCTCTGGGGGGAATGTTGAGGTGTTCCCAGGCCAGCTGAGAGACATAGTCCCTCCAGTGTGTCCTGGGTCTTCCCTGGGGCCTCCTCCCGGTGGGACATGCCTGGAACACCTCCCCAGGAAGGCGCCCAGTAGAAGTTTAGAAAGTGGAAACTCCAAACAGCTGAACCCAACAGGATGCAGGTTCAAACCAGTCAGATACCAGAAGTGACACCGAGCTCTCATTAATGACACAGATGTCCTGACCAAAGTTGGCGGGGACTTGTCCTAGCCCGCAGGCAGCCCTCTAGAGATAAAGGGGGTTTCAACCAGTTGTCCACTGCAGCCAAGGAACTGCAGCTGGCCACTGCTCATGTATTAAATAATATACAGTAGTTTCACTGTAGAAATCTTAATTTATTTTAACCCATTTCTATGTATTATTTATTATTTATGAATAATCAAATTGATGCAAATATATAAAACTTAGAGAAGCCCCACAACAGGGGTTACCTGTCAGTTAGAATGGTTGAATCCTAAAAAAAATGTCTTCTGATTTGATATTTTGACAGTATGAGACTCGATTGAATAAAACACTGTGCCCAGCAGACAGTGAATGTTGTTGTCTCAGCACAGAACTAAAACATGGTATCTGACCTCAGAGTCTCCAGTCGACAGTGTGGACTCTCCAGAAAACCACACAGCTGCTTCACTGCTGGATCCTGCAGGTCATTGTCACTCAGGTCCAGGTGTCTCAGATGGGAGGAGTTGGACTTCAGAGCTGAGGCCAGAGAAGCACAGCTGGTCTCTGACAACCTGCACTCAATCAATCTGAATGAAGAATAAAGCATGTAGATAAAATCGTTCACAGTCCAGCCAGACATGTCCTAATCAATTAGCTTTTCTCTAAAATAAGTTGAATTGGAAAAGGTTATTTATGGAGAAATGACGTCAGGAGAGCTGACACACTGCCGGAAGACGCTGATCACCCAGAAGTTGCTGAGTGTTGAAATGTTAGTGCATCTAAAACTATCTGACACAGAAAACTATCATTCAGAAATACCAGTAATGAGAATAGAGGTAATGAATGGGCTAGTACTGCAGTAGTAATAGGTGACGTGTATCGTGGATCAGAAGAGGCTCAGTTAACACGGATACTGACTGACTGCAGTAAACAGAGTAGAGAACAATGGACGATCGGCAGGTGCATCGTTACATGACTCGCTTTTCGTCAATAACGCAGGAAAACTTTAAAAACTTTGCCTCACAAAACTGAATGACTGAAGAAAAACGGTCCTATGAAAAACATCTGTTGACTGTGGGCAGTCGGAGGCTTCAGCCAACATGTCCGTGAAGGTTTCCCATTAGGTGAAGGATTTATCTCGAGCTATGAACAGCTCTCGTCTGAGAGGTGGCTAGGATTTCCGGATGCCTCTTACAGTGTGACTGAACAAGAGATTTAGACGGCACTCTCTGTGGTTTTGACCATCTCAGTCAAAACCTCAGTACATCCTGTCAGAAGAGGAAGTGCCATTCCTGAATCCTGACAGATTTCTCTACATTTTACATGTATAAATTGTTTATTAAAGTTAAAAGTTAACAGAAGAAAACAGAAAAAAGTTGAGAAACGTGGAACATTATACCATCCAAACCAACTTAGAGGCTGAAATGTATAATGTATATCAAAACGCTGAGCTCAAGACTAAAACGTCTAAAGTCTTTGGATCAGCATAAAGTTTAAATGACTTCTCCAGCCCGTGTAACGAAGCAGGAAGCTGACAAAGACAGGATGGTTTAGAGGAATTAGAGTTTCCCCATAGAAAACCATCATTTAGAAAAAGTTGACAAAAAGTTCACCAACATAAAAAGTATAAAAGTAGCAACAAAAGAAAGTTAGTAGTCCAAATGTCCTTAGGAAGACGTTTTAAAGTCTGAACAGAGTTTCTAGCCCAACACATCTATTTTTCCATCTTATTTCGCCCTTTTTTTGGCCTCTATCTCATTCTAAAGCGCAAAGATAACGCTGGGGGAGCTGATCAGCTCGTCCTTCTGTTACTGGGGCTCATCGTCATGTCAGCCTCATCCAAATGTCAGCCCACTCATTCCACTCCTTCACAGTGAACTGACCTCAGAGCCTCCAGGCGACAGTGTGGACTCTCCAGTCCAGCAGACAGTAGCTCCACTCCTGGATCCTGAAGGCTGTTTTCACTCAGGTCCAGTTCTCTCAGATGGGAGGGGCTGGACTTCAGAGTTGAGGCCACGACATCACAGTGAGTCTTGGAGATTTGACAGTTAGTAAGTCTGTCATGACACATAAAATACAAAATATGTTTGTATGAAAGACAAAGTGAGGGTCCAAGGGTCTCTATATTTTGTCCTCTCTAGCTATATACATGAGAGGGTCAGAATATTAGGAACACATCTGAATATAATGTAGTCCGGCCACCTTTAACTATGACCTCCGTAATAAACATATAACTGAATTTATACATTTATGACAGTTTCAAAGACTGAAACATGTTGAGCTTCATAAACAGATATTAAGGTGGAAGTGTTGCACTGAAGTGCACACAGCTGTACAGGTGTACCTAATAATGCTGCCCACAGCTGGAACCAGCTCCCATTAGAACTCAGATCTGCCCAGCTGGAGCCACTGTTAAGACTACAGACTGTTTGCCACTTAAAGGTATATTCAGAGATTTGACATCATTACACATTTTGACTCATTCATCTAAGTTTTCCTCACATTTCTCTGTCTGGCCTTTCAGTCTGTGTGCTCCACAAACCCCAGGTGGCACTGGGCTGTGCTCACTCTGTGAAGGTGGAGAAAGGATTGGAGTCTCGGGTCAGGCCAGCTAATTTCAGCCAATCAGAACAAGGAGCACGAGGACAAAGACAAAAACTGAAAAAAGGACTATGATCAGGGAAGCTGGGAGACCCGTGTCAACACAAAGACAGAGGGAGTTGTGGGATCTAAAAGGGATGAGAACAAACACAGAGGTTGCTCTTTTTCTGCTGGACAGGTGGGTCGGTGGTTTGCTATGCACCACTGAAAGGTCATTAAGGTCAACATAATGCTCAGTTAGGTATGCTAATCTGTGGCAGTGTTAGAGTAGATACTTTATTGATGCCACAGTGGGGAAATTTCTGTGTTACAGCAGCAATAGAGAACAACCAACATAACACCATAAGAACAGACACCACCATAAGAAGAGACACATAAGAACGGAACTTTATAAAAACACAGAAAAGAACACAACGAGGACACAGCTGCTGTAACTTGCTGCCACTCCGCGCAGCGCAACAAAGAACACTTAGGGTGTATGCGGTTGTTCTGACTTCAGCTACAGCAGCTGGAGGTCGCTGTGGGAGGTGGAGTCCGTAGCTGGTTTGCCACATGTTGCGCCCAGGTTATTAGTTTTCTGACGTCTCCCCGGTCATCAGCATCCCTGCTGTGACACTGGGCATTCATGTGGGATGTGGGAATGAGCTCCTAACTGAAACAACTCGTAGATTTGTGTACATAGTTATCAAACGTTCACAGTTGAGGGCTCAAAGACAGGTAACGACGCTCACCAATACTGGGCTATATTGACTCAGTCATAAGGGCACATTTTTGGGCATCAAAGGGCTGAAACACCACCGATGGGGATAAATATCTCAGACTCAATACCAGTCGGGCAGAACTGATGAAGCCTCTTGGATGAGACGTGAAGCGTCGTCAACCTAAAACTAAGTCCAGTTGATATATTCTAAGTTTTTTCAGCTTACTATGACCTGGATGACTGAGAATCTGCATGGACTAAGGAAAAGTGGTACAGAGTAAATTAGGAACAGTGAGAATCCACAGTCTGCCACAGCTGTACTAGATGTACTGGGTATATATCCTGTACTTGCGTGTAACTTTTGCTTCCAATGATTTATCTATTTGTGTGCACTGTCTTAAGAACTTTGAATAAAAATGTGCTTTATAAATTAACTTGCCTTGCCTACGTTTGGAGCGATACAGGAAAGGGGGTCAGAAAATTCAGCAGGTTTAGGGGGTTGATGGTCACATCTGGACTCACCGAGCCTTTCTGCAGTTCCTCACAGCTGGGACCAGTCTCAGTCGTCCCTCCTTTGATGTCTTGTATTTCTCCAGGTCCAACTCATCCAGAACCTCCTCTGTCATCTGCAGCATGTAGGCCAGAGCTGAGCACTGGAACTCAGAGAGTCTCTGCCCTGACCTGGTCTCCGACTTCAGGAACTTTTGGATCTCCTGATAGACTGAGTGGTCGTTCAGCTCCATCAGACAGTGAAAGATGTTGATGCTTCTGTCAGGAGAGACTTCATCACTGCTCATCTCCTTCAGGTTGTCGATGGCTCTCTGGATGGTTTTTGGACTGTTCTCTGTCTGACCCAGCAGGCCTCCTAAGAGTCTCTGGTGGGACTCCAGACAGAGGCCATGAAGGAAGCGGACAAACAGGTCCAGGTGGCCGTTTTTACTTTCCAGGGATTTCTTCATGGCTGCCCTCAGGAAGACATCCAAGAAAAAGTAACTGTAGTCTTCCCCCAGAAACATCTCCAGTACCTCTGTGTTCCTGTTGGTGTAGCAGTGGACCATGTAGACTGCAGCCAGAAACTCCTGAACACTCAGATGAACAAAGCAGTAGACTGATTTCTGGAATATCACCCACTCTCTTTTGAAGATCTCTGTACAAAGTCCTGAGTACACCAAGGCCTCTGGGACATCCAGACCACACTCCTCCAGGTCTTCTTGGTAGAACATGATGTTTCCTGTCTCCAGATGTTCAAACGCCAGCCTCCCCAGCTTCAGAAGAACATCCCTGTCAGCCTCCTGCAGCTCCTGTGGACTCGTCCCATGTCCCTCACCGTACTTGTGCTTCTTCCTCTTGGTCTGAACCAGCAGGAAGTGTGAGTACAGGTCCGTCAGGGTCTTGGGCAGCTCTCCTCTCTGCTCTGTAATCAACATGTGCTCCAGGACTGTAGCAGCAATCCAGCAGAAGACGGGGACTTGACACATGATGTGGAGGCTCCTGGAGGCCTTGATGTGGGAGATGATCCTGCTGGACAGCTCTTCATCACCGAACCTCCTCCTGAAGTACTCGTCATTCTGGGCGTCGGTGAAGCCTCGTACTTCTGTCACCCTGGCGATAGTGAAAGTCTGCTTTCATCCAGGCCGTCAAAGATGAACAGAGCTTTACAGACAGCCAGCTCCTCTGCTGTGACCTTCTGTAAGGTTGGATGGAAAACATGGAGCAGCGTGAGAAGACTGTGCTGCTCATGTCTGATCAGGTTCAGCTCCCTGAACGAGAGCAGAACCAGCAGGCTGACATCTTGGTTTTCCAAGCCCTCTGCCCAGTCCAGAGTGAACTTCTGCACCGAGAAGGTTTTACCAACGCCGGCGACGCCGCTTGTCAGGGCTGCTCTGATGGGTCTCTGTTGGTCGGGGAAGGCTTTAAAGATCTGGTGGCACTTGATTGGAGTGTCCCGGAGGGTCTTCTTCTTGGACGTGGTCTCAAGCTGCCTCACTTCATGTTGGGTATTGACCTCTTCACTGTGTCCCTCTGTGATGTAGAGTTCAGTGTAGATCCTGTTGAGGAGGGTTTCACTTCCTGTTCCATCAGTTCCTTCAATCACACGTTCACATCTGCTCCTCAGACTGATCTTATGTTCATCCAGCACCTCCTGCAGACCACCACCGGCTGAAATAAAAAAATGAGAGAAAAGTAAATTTGTTGACCTCATAGACAATATAAAAAACAATCAAAACAACAAGGTCAGTTGGAGCTAGCACACAGCTTCTGTCATTAACTTTTCAGTCAGTAATACAGTGTTATGCATGATGATTTTTCTGCCGGCCCAACTGGCTCTCTGTCCGGCTGAAAGCTCAGCTGCACGGACTCATAAGGATTTGCTCTAAGACTGTGGGTCAACAACTGAGACAGGCTTCCAAACCAGTGTTGAAAGGACGTGGTCTGTGGCTGCTAAGATAGGATTAGATTCCTGGCATATTTTACATGGTGAACACCAGTTGCTGCCATCAGAAGCCTTAGACACCCATAGGTTCGACTGCACAGATTTAAGACCTCTTTTTTCCCCGTCTCCAAAACAGCTGAAGTCTGAGCTCTCAGCTGTATTTACTCAGAGTGTTACCTTCAAACTGTCTTATATGTTGTTGTGATTTTGTACAGTGTGTTTGTGTTGTTTTTAATGATGCATGCCTTGGGATGCAGGACAAAACCCAGGAAAGTTGGTACAGAGCAGACCTGAACTCTGCTGAAAAACAGGCAACTATCAAGGACATCTAAAATGATCTGATATGTCCATCGGCAGACAGGTGTACAGTCTTACTTTGTACAGGTCCGTCTCCACACTGGGGAGAGCAGGAGCGTCCTGATGAGCCAGATTGGCCCCAGTATGAGGTCAAGCACTGTCTGCAGAACCAGTGTCCACAGCTGGTAGAGACCGGGTCCTTTCGCACATCCTGACACTGAGAACAGTGGGACAGCTGCTGCTCCTCAGAGCCATGACTCCTCTTCATCTTTCTGTGAAAACAAAGATTTGCTGTTATAAGATGTCCAGATATATCCGACACCAACCAGAAGCTCTGAAGGTGACAGAAACCAGTAAACATGGAGCCACTTTTCAGTTTGAATTCCATGCCCAGTCTGTAATCTGACCTGTCCTGCTTCTTGTCTGGTGAACTACTTGAAGTTTGTTGTTAACACAAGCTCCTTCACAGTAAAAGCCTTCCATTAAAACGCCTCGTTAGGTTTGAGCTGAGGTCACGAGCAGCTGTGGCATTCCCTCTGTGTCAGGCCAGCTTTGTTAACAAATCCAAATGCTCATGGTTAAACAATGACCACAGGTAACCTCTGACACGGGACACATAATTTCTCATGCAAAGTGTTGTAAACTCTAACAGATCCCAGCCAACCAAGTTTCTGTGGCTGATTTTCTCCATCGGGTTTATCAAAGCAGGAACTGTTTATCAAACAAAACTGTTCTCTGTTAAAATCATTTCACAAGAAACAGCACACTGAGATGCTAAAAGAACCGGTTGTCTAGTGACATGACATCAACACGCTATGTGCTGTTGGAGGCGACAGGATTGGGCTTCAGTGGTTTGTACAGGCTCTCTTACTTGGTGTCTGAGGGGCCAGGTTGGCTACTGAAGTACAGAGGTTCATCTTTGGACCAGTCGCTCTTCACAGACAGACAGTTGGGTCCTGGAGACTCTGTTCGGTCCTCCTCTTCCTCCACACAGCCACTCATCTTCAGAGGAAAACCAGTAACACTGACTGGGCGCTCTAAACAGAGAAAACAGGAAGTGTCACACACACTTTCACTTTTCTTCTATTTCTGCAAACAGAATTTTATTGTTCCCTGTACAGTCCACAGGGAGAACCCTGGCCTGGAGACAGTAGAACCACAATATCATCACCTGCTCTATCGTATCACAGTGAATTACCTGGCTACACACCTCATCTGTTCCCGGGTCCCTGGATCACCTGCTCAGTGTGGCCCCGCCCTCTCTGTTTACATTAAACTATTGATGGGGGGGGGCACCCAGCATCATTGTCCTTGTGGAGGCTTTGCCTTCCCTGTGGGTAATATTATGGTAATGACTTGGTTAAAGCTTGGAGTAAACATCCAGGAAACGCAAGTGCGCGTGTTTTAGTGGTTCGCAGATTGAGTGAACAAACTACACACAGAGAAATAGTGACCGCTCCACAGGAAATCAAAGCATCCTGTGGTGACACGTACCCCGTCTCAGGTTCCCTCTGCTGCTATGCACGCTCTTTAACTTACTGTCTGCTTTTCTTCCGGTTAATCGTGGGCGCGCTCCAAGAGCCAACCGGCGCGTGCCGGCGTTCGATGTGTTCCCTCTGTTAACACCTGTTTCCTGTAGCGCCCCCTCTCGGTGGCTAGGTTTGATACCGGGGGAACACGTTTAGATACCTCACCGGGTTGTGCCGGGCGGGCGTGGTCTCCCGAATGGAAGAAGGGACACACAGCGGAGACGTGAAGACGTAAACTGTAGTCAGCAGAGTACATTTCAGGGGGATTTCCAAGATCCAGAAACTGGGAAACAAGCCCAAAATAAACTGAAACAACGTCTTCAGAGTGCTGATGAGCAGAGCCCCCCTTAATGAAAGGTAAATGTTACTGAAATGAAGTCAGAGCAGCTGGACAGCAGTTCAGAAACACATTCAAACTACGTGTATCATAATGAAGTCGCTCATTTTGGTGCTAATGATAGCTCCGTTATCGCTGCTGTCTCGCTGTAGCAGCCTGACAGTAAACGTGACTTCCGCTTAGACTTCCGTTTGCCCACTGAGCACTCAGCGGGAGTCGCGGTATTTCTTCAAGGTTTGGTTTGTTGGATAGTGTTAGGTATTTTTAGTCAGATAGAAATTGGATAGATACTTTATGTATTAGAAATGTTTAGTGGAGATAGGATGTCTAGTTAGACTGTTAAATGCTTAGTCATGCTTATGAGTTTCTACAGGGTACATCTGGTCAAGGATAACAAGAGAGAAGAGTTGATGATTGTCAGCAGACAGGGTGTTTAATATTATTATTATGATGTGTATAACTGTAGCCTTAGCCATAATATTTTCTTATGTTTAATGTCATGACATGTCACTAGAAGTCGTGTGAAATGTTTTTAGCTACACACCACTTAACCAACAGACACACACACATTGATTTTCTTCATGTTTTGACTACTGCTATGGTCAGCTGCAAAGCTGGCACCAGGGACACGTTACGGTTTGACGTTCCTGTGTAGAAGGGGGCTAGCCCAACCGAAGAGATAAATGTATAGTTCGGTTCAGGGTCTTTTTCATCCTTCAGCTGCCTGCATGCAAGTTGGAGGTGGAAGATACCTGAGCGTGTAATGTTAATTTTTACCTGTGATCCTTTGAATAAATCAGCACTGTTTTGAAGTTACTTGGACTGTCTCGTCTCTCAGAGTTAGCATGGTACAAGAACCGGAAAACTTCAATAGGTTCACTGTATAATTATAAAATATACTCATTTGAATTAGTTTGTAGTAAAATATTTGTCATTATAAGACCAGATTAATTTACAGTTTATATTTTTAAACTGAGCATTCTAGTGTTTGCAGTGAGGAATTGCAGGGCGCCGCCGCTGCGCGCTCACGCTCAGCCGACTTTACACTGGGATCACGTCACAAAACCTAAACTGTTTTCTAGGCTCCGGGAAGGTTTTACAAATATAAAAGCTCCATGAATTAAAATACATAAGAGAAGGAGCAGCAGTCGCCTGGTTTACAGTTCGAGGTGTCCCGTCAACAGCTCGACAAAATTTATTCACAGTGTTAATGACCTACCTGTGGTGACTCTCACGTCCGTTTTCTGCTCCTCTCATTTGGGTCCTGGTCTGTTTTTCCTGACTGACAGTTTTCTGACTCCTGATGAACTGGTGTATGTGCCCATGCAGTTTGGTGAGTGTGGCAGGTTGCAAGGCTGCCTGTCTCTGGGTACAAACTCCATTACATTCTGTATCACATCTCTGTAACAGGCTGCATTCACTCAGTCAGTGTCACCTTGTGATCAGATGACTGAGAGCTACAGAGACATGGAGGTGGTGTCAGAAGCAGGGTGTGCGGAACTGCTACCGTTTGCATTTTGTTGATGTGAAATAAGACACAGATTTTAAATATCTTCATTTTTAATACAAAACAAGTCAAACAGTAAGTGCACACCTTGTTCTGTTTGGTCTTTTATCTCAACTGTCCCAGTGTCACAGTTTCCACCTTCCTCTGTGAAGGTGTGTGTTTACCGGCATGTCGGTGGGTGTTGCTGTCCGGAGGTTCTCTGTGAGGGCTGGAGTCAAGCTCATTAAAATGTAGGACAGACATCCACACGTCAGCAGTGTCGTATCGTTCTGGGTTCCACCTGACGGAGGACATCAGGTGGGGAACACACCTGGAACAGGTCTGCAGCCCAGTTCTCCAGAAATGACCTGAGCGGTTTGCAGAGCGTCTACACCACGGCAGGGATGAAGTACTGCAGCGACATGTCATCGTGCAGCAGAATCAGGTGGACCACCTTCTCATGGACAATGTCTGAGGAGACAAGAGGACAGTGGCAATGGAAACATCACCTGACCAGTGACATAAACAGCTTTACAGTGTGAACATAGAATTACTCTGTTACAGGTGTGTTTGCTACATGTCAGGGTACAAGAGTCCTGGTATTAACTCTACCAGCCCTGACATGCAGGTCCAACCCTGTTGTCGCTTTCCCAGTAGATTAAAGGGTCAGTTCACCCAAATGACACGTTTTCTCTCGCTCCTGCCAGCATGTATGGGGCGTCTGTGGCTTAGGAAGTAGAGCGGGTCGTTTCCTAACCGGAGGATTAGCGGTTCGATTCCCGGCTCGTCCAGTCAACATGTCGTGTCCTTGAGCAAGACACTGACCCCCGATTTGCTCCCGGTGATGACACCGGTGTGTGAATGGGTGAATGGCCAAATAGTGTGAAAGCGCTTTGAGTGTGCTGTAAAGCATAGAAAGGCACTATACAAATATAAGACCATTTACCATGTAGTATGAGTTTTATATAAGACTGTAGAAAAACCTCATTGGTTTCCACAGGAACCGGTTCTCCTGTACAGATTCTCTTGTCAGGGACATCGTACTTCTGGGACGTCAAATCAGTGTTTCATTTTTCAGAGGCAGGTGTGTTGTACACACATGTACCAGGATCTCCGTTACCCCACTTCTTTATTAACCATCAATCTAGAGATACAACTATTAAGCCACAATTCCACCAGAAAGTTCCCAGAACTTGCTTTTTCCCCAGGAACTGAAGCCCAAGAACCATCCCTGGGGTAAAAGATGCTCGAGCACAATGTGATGTGCATTTCCACAGCAGGGCTGAAGCCCAGGGAATATTACACGAATTAGCCTGCTGACGTAAAACCATGGTGGTCGGCAGTAGGGCTGTGAGAACGCCACAGCGGTGGAGGCCAGACAGCAGGCAAAACCGAAACGGTCACGTTTCTGCATGTTAATACTCATGTAACAGGTGTTTTTAAACTTGCTGAGGTTTCACCGCAGGTACAGTAATGAGCACAGGGGCCGAGTAAGGTTTCACTTCAGCTGATGTCATGCCCTCCTAACTGTCTGTGCATCCCAAAACAGAAAACTCTCAGAAGTGTCACCAGTGCTGAATCGACACTGTTTTTCCTGTTGGAGCTCTGGATTTTTACTTGATCGCTATTTTTATATTTCACGTGAACCTGCAAAGTGTCCAGGAGCTGCAGCTGGTAGACACAGGCAGCAGAGGAAAAGCTAAAGGATCATACTGCACTAATCTGTGCAGTGCCTCCTCACAGACAAGGAGCAGGGGTTTGACTTACTGCACATGGCCTTGCTGGGGTTGACCTGCTGCCCCATGAGGAACTGCTGCAACCTCCTGATGTCAACCCGGGCCTCGGCCATGGCCTCCGGGTCCCTGCTCTGAGACGAGCTGCTGCCCTGGGAGGCACCGTCACCTGGAGGGACAGGAAGCAGAAAGAGATGGAGGCAGATGAATATGCAAGACATTTCCCCCAACCAGAAGCTGGAGCCAGATCAGGGAACCCAAACTTGAACAGCTCTGAGCTCCTGTGTCACCTGAGAAAAAACTTTCCCAGTATGTTTAATCTGAAGATCTTGGAAAAAAGAATTTCTAAAGGATGTGCAAAAACAAAAAACAAGCGCAGAGCAAAAGTGAATTAAAAAAATCCTCGGCACTAGGAAACTTAGTGAAATACCACGGAATCACATCTCTGCATCTGTCTCTACATTTCCTGTGTGCTCCACACACACACACACAATACAGAGATCAAGGCAAAAAATGCAGCAAAACAATGTTCAGAAGATGAATCTTGAAGCTGAAGACACCGAAGAAGAAAAGCATAGAAAGTTTCCCCATATATAAATGTACGACCAGTCTACAGACATATCGGCAGCTCTGTCAGGCGGCGCCTTGAGCTAAAGGCTAACATCAACATGCTAACCTCCTCACAGTCACAATGCTAACATATCAGGTGTTAGATGAAAAGTCAGAGGATCAGCTAGGCTGCTCTGGGCACCACAGTTATCTGTGCTAAATGTCATGGCAGGGCATCCAGCGCTTGTCAAGGTGTTTCGTTTAAAAGCCAAAATGTCACCCCACGGTGACAGTGGAGGAAAAGTCACAGCCGAGTCAGTAGGATTTGTCCTCTGCGGAATACGAATGTAAAGTTAATCTCACTTGATCTGACAGCTATTCAGCATGTTTCCATTATTATACCAATGCTATTGTCCACACAGCTGTGACTACAGACATGAGGCTGTAACACTGTTCCTACCCCAGGGAGGATTTCCCAGGTCTTTGAAGTGAGTGGTGACAGAAACCAGATCAGTCTCGATCTTCAGGTTCATCTCTCCGTTCAGGTTGGCTTCGATTACCTGCCAACACACGCACACAAACTTTAATAAGGGTTATGCGCAACTTAGTTCCGTATACTGCAAAACAGAATCATCCGTTTCCGGTTTGCGACTAGTATGAAATATGGCACTGTTCTACTCAAGATGTCTCCAAGAACTACCAAAGATGAAGATCACGGATGTACATCCAATATGCAGTTCGATGGAAGTGCGCTGACCCGTTTCAGCGCACTTCCGCTTTTCAGCAGAACGCCGGTGACACAGTAATGCGAAACACGTTCTTTGAGCTCGTTTTATTTGATTAGTTCGTAGATTAAAAAAAAAAGAAGTCTTTTTCAAGACACAAATACCAGAAGCGGGATGGTCCAAACAGTGATTTCTGCTGCGTACCTCAATGTGCGATGTCAGGGAATTTCAATTCAGCCATAAGCTTTCACCATTTCCCTAAGGAAGAAACCTTAAGAAAAATATGGATCCGTAATGTACGACGTGATAATCTTGTAATTAAGAGGACGACAACAGTATGTAGTAGACACTTCGTCTCCACAGATGTAATTCAAGGTGGACAACGGCGTTTGAAAGAAGGAGCCGTTCCAGTGCTGTTTGTCACCAGAACCATCAGCCTTGGACATGGCACGTGAAAAATTAGAAGCCCAGCAGTTTGCGAATTTAGCATTTTGCATTACACAAGCTTAGTTACTATTAGCTTTCCGGTAGTGCATTACATTATTTTGGTGTACCAGACAGATGCTCGGTGTAAATATTGATAACATTAGCTAGTTATCTTATGAACTAGCTTAGCTACATCTCCATTTGTAAAATAACCGATACATAACTCTACCTTCGTAGTCGTGGATGTATGAAGAAGCATGTAGCTTAAACCCCTTATCCAGCTTGCTGCCTGGTGTTTTAGACGTCGAACTGCATATTCGATGTACATCCGTGATCTTCATCTTTGGTAGTTCTTGGAGACATCTTGAGTAGAACAGTGCCATATTTCAAACTAGTCGCAAACCAGAAACGGATGATTTCTGTTTTGCAGTATACGGAAGTAAGTTGCGCATAACCCCTATTTTGAGTTCTCTGTACTTGAGCACTGTTCCATGTACTCAACATGATGTTAGAGAAATGTGATGCTACCAGGAAGTTGGAGAGGTTCTTCATTCTGTCCACAACATTCTTCATGGTCTTCAGAGGAGGCAGGTAGATACTCACCTGCACACAGAGACAAAAAGACACATCTGTCAGTGTTTGGAAATGAATGAAAGACAAATGCTCTGCTCTGACGTGTGTCCATTTTAAAGACTAAAGTATGTGGACAGTGGTGCACTTACATCAAAGTCTGGCACGGTTGGTTCTTTGAATTCGTGCCAGAGCCTCCGGGGGATAACATCCACTGGAATGTCATGAGTAACAACTCGGCTGACGCTGGACAGGGTGGGCTGGACGAAACGAGCAGAGATGTCACTGGGTTAAGTCTCTCTCTGACTTACAGCTCTGCACTGCTGTAATGAACAGTATAAACAGTGGCGGTTCTACATTGAATTACTCCCCGGGCGAGACCCCCCTCTGAGCCCCCCCCAAGGGAAAAAACACTAAATTTTGCACAGTGATGCAGTCATAGCAAGAAGGCTAACAAAAACTAAGAGTTAATGTTATACTAATAAATTAACATTAGCCCTTCATTGATGACATGGATACCGTAATCCCACAGAACGTAGTTGCATACCTTTATCCTTTGCTCGTTTCTCCTCTTCTTTTCTCTTTTCCTAAATTGGGCACCTGACAGCTTTGACCTTTTTCTCTCCATCGCTGTTTTTTTTTTTTTTTTTTTTTTTTCTTGCAATCAACAGATTTCCCATCCCCCAGCACTGTTACTCATGACCAGAAGTCAAGACTATACCAATTCACCTTGTATTACCTATTTTTATTAGCCATTTAACACAATTTGGAAAAAACAAAAGCGTGCAAATTATAGGCCTGTGTTTATAATATTATGAATGAAATGTGCGTTATTTGGAAGAAAGTCAAGGTGTCACTGACTTAGTTTAGCCTACTAAGTGGACCCCGCTCCTTTGTCCGCTCCATTTGGGAGAGGTGAACTCTCCTCCTGCACCCGCGCCTCCTCCCCTCCCCTTTCCACCTCTCACACAGCTTCTGTGTATGGCACCTTCTCATCAAGCAGGGGAATATATATGATAGATAATAAAAAACTGCTTAGAGGCGCAGATTATTTTCTTTCCAAGTGCTTGTGCCGCCCCCCATGTGTCATGAAAAAATGTCGCCCCGGGCGACTGCCCGGTTCGCCCATGCCAAAAACCGCCACTGAGTAAAAACCTGCAGTAACAGATGCTGATTGGCCACTTGAACACAGCACTGACATATCACCACCTTCTGAGCTGATACAGTGTAGCTGCTTATTCCACATCCAGCACTTACAGAGCAGTAAGATCATTCATTCAGAGTGATGTTTGCTAAATGCTCCGCGTCCCCCAGCTGGTCTCTGACTGGCTCCGTCTGCTGTTTGCTGCTGAGTGGGTCATGGATGGCGGCTGTTTAGAGCATCTTCTCTGACAACAGCTGCTTCCTGCTGTGGCTCAGAACTGCATCATGAGGGCAGTGACAGTGAACCAGGACAGTAAAGCTGTGGTCTGACACTACACAAGGAGCTGAGACTCGCTGTAAAGCTCTGTAAACTGAGGGGCGCTGCAGGCTCAGCTGATAAATCTCTGACACCGTTCACATAGTGACACTGTCTTCAGTGTCATTCTACCATATCAGCTTTAAAGGTGGTCACATGTTAATGTTCATACCTTGATTTGCTGCCTCCGGGTGGCCAAAAGATCTGTTATTGCAGGTTTAAGTGAGACCAAGAGAAAAAAACATGATGATACAGTATATAAGCACGTGTAGGTGTAAATGGACACAGAAAAATGTCCTGCATGAAAACAACTTTCTTTGGTTTCCTCCAGTAGACATGTAGCAGCATGCACACCACTGCCTGCACGCTGCAGGAGTAATGTGTCCAGTCTCACCAGCTCGGCGACGATGGTGAGGCAAGGACAATGTTTTTTGGTCAGTTTCACTTTGACGACCTTGGCGTTCTGGACCGTCTTCAGGGCTCTGGACATGTTCTCGGGAGCCACCTCCAGACAAATCTCATTGTCCTCAGGGTTCATGCCCTCCATCTGGTACTCGTCAAAGAAGTTGGCCTGAGGGAGGAATGACACACTGGTCACTTCACCCAAATCCAAGAAATCCTGATGAACTGAGCCACAGACAGTTGGCAGCTACAAGTAGCGAGACAGATTTCATGGAGAACTACTTTCTGCCAAGAGCAGAAAGCACTAAAACTAGTGTGCTACTGTAGACTAAGTGACAGGAAATTACTGAGCTACTATTCTGATCATCAATTAATCATTTCAGTCGGTTTTGACACTGAATGTCAGACGTTCTCTGGGTTTGGCTTTTCACATGTGACGCTGTGCTGTTTCCTATGACAGTAAACCGAATGTGTTTAAGGTCTGTGCTGTTGGTCGGACAAAACGAGACAGCTGAAGGCATCACAGTGGAATGAAAATCTCACATTCACCGATGTAGGTACGACTTTAATAATACCACAGACACAGGAGTTCCGCTGATCTCCCAGGCCACTAAATAACGACTTCTCAACAGAGGAAAAAAAAGATCTAATCCATCACCACCTCCCTGTCAGTGAACCTTACATCCTTCTGTCCCAGTGATTGTTTTATTTCCCAACGAGTGAGACCTAACTCAGCACATGCGCTCTAACCTGAGACAGTTCACACCACATACTGACGCCTCCGTTGGCCACTTTCCCACAGAGAACAAAGAAGAGGTTGTCTGGAGTCAGTCGCAGGATGCACGTCTTCGTCAGCTTTGAGATGGTGGTGATGACTCCTGGTGGTGATGAGTAAGAGCAAAGTTACTAAGCACAATAAGTCCTACTTCAGCCAGTGAAAACACTTCTGGTTTTAATTCAAGCTACAGACAGAGACCATGTCACTGTCGCTTACAAAATCTCAATTCAAATTCAGTTTTCTTCCTTCAAACAATAGTTACAGTGCCTTGCGAAAGTATTCGGCCCCCTTGAACTTTGCGACCTTTTGCCACATTTCAGGCTTCAAACATAAAGATATAAAACTGTAATTTTTTGTGAAGAATCAACAACAAGTGGGACACAATCATGAAGTGGAACGAAATTTATTGGATATTTCAAACTTTTTTAACAAATAAAAAACTGAATAATTGGGCGTGCAAAATTATTCAGCCCCTTTACTTTCAGTGCAGCAAACTCTCTCCAGAAGTTCAGTGAGGATCTCTGAATGATCCAATGTTGACCTAAATGACTAATGATGATAAATAGAATCCACCTGTGTGTAATCAAGTCTCCGTATAAATGCACCTGCACTGTGATAGTCTCAGAGGTCTGTTTAAAGCGCAGAGAGCATCATGAAGAACAAGGAACACACCAGGCAGGTCCGAGATACTGTTGTGGAGAAGTTTAAAGCCGGATTTGGATACAAAAAGATTTCCCAAGCTTTAAACATCCCAAGGAGCACTGTGCAAGCGATAATATTGAAATGGAAGGAGTATCAGACCACTGCAAATCTACCAAGACCTGGCCGTCCCTCTAAACTTTCAGCTCATACAAGGAGAAGACTGATCAGAGATGCAGCCAAGAGGCCCATGATCACTCTGGATGAACTGCAGAGATCTACAGCTGAGGTGGGAGACTCTGTCCATAGGACAACAATCAGTCGTATACTGCACAAATCTGGCCTTTATGGAAGAGTGGCAAGAAGAAAGCCATTTCTTAAAGATATCCATAAAAAGTGTCGTTTAAAGTTTGCCACAAGCCACCTGGGAGACACACCAAACATGTGGAAGAAGGTGCTCTGGTCAGATGAAACCAAAATCGAACTTTTTGGCAACAATGCAAAATGTTATGTTTGGCGTAAAAGCAACACAGCTCATCACCCTGAACACACCATCCCCACTGTCAAACATGGTGGTGGCAGCATCCTGGTTTGGGCCTGCTTTTCTTCAGCAGGGACAGGGAAGGTGGTTAAAATTGATGGGAAGATGGATGGAGCCAAATACAGGACCATTCTGGAAGGAAACCTGATGGAGTCTGCAAAAGACCTGAGACTGGGACGGAGATTTGTCTTCCAACAAGACAATGATCCAAAACATAAAGCAAAATCTACAATGGAATGGTTCACAAATAAACATATCCAGGTGTTAGAATGGCCAAGTCAAAGTCCAGACCTGAATCCAATTGAGAATCTGTGGAAAGAACTGAAAACTGCTGTTCACAAACGCTCTCTATCCAACCTCACTGAGCTCGAGCTGTTTTGCAAGGCGGAATGGGCAAAAATTTCAGTCTCTTGATGTGCAAAACTGATAGAGACATACCCCAAGTGACTTACAGCTGTAATCGCAGCAAAAGGTGGCGCTACAAAGTATTAACTTAAGGGGGCTGAATAATTTTGCACGGCCAATTTTTCAGTTTTTTATTTGTTAAAAACGTTTGAAATATCCAATAAATTTCGTTCTACTTCATGATTGTGTCCCACTTGTTGTTGATTCTTCACAAAAAATTACAGTTTTATATCTTTATGTTTGAAGCCTGAAATGTGGCAAAAGGTCGCAAAGTTCAAGGGGGCCGAATACTTTCGCAAGGCACTGTACTTAATGTCTTTGTTACTCACTATCCACCACTGTTTTCAATCAGTCATTTTGTGTATAAAAAAAAAGTAACTGAAGTTCCCAGAGACGGAGGTGATGTCTACATGTCTGTTGTTCCAGGTCCAAAACACAAAGATGTGGCCATTTATCTGAAAAGCTGCAACCATGGATGTTTGACATTTTTCTCACTCAGATTTTAATCAATTTACCATCATAATTATTACTGAATAATAATACTAAGATAATGATTAATCAATTAATCCCTCAACCACTATATGATTGTAAATGAAGCTAGTTCTCAAGAGTCAACAACTACTTCCTGAATTAAAGACTTAGTCAGTTATAAAACTGGACCAGGAAGCCTCTGAAGGATTTTTGAAACTGGACAGAAAATTCAGCATTTCAGGCTAAAAGTCAACGTCTTTAATGAGTTTAATATGTTAAACAGCAGGAAAACAACTTGACTAACCAACATTTGAGGACATTTCTGCTGTAAACTGTTTAGACTTATACCAATATTTTGCTGATGACCAGTCTGATATTCACTACCTTATGTTTTATGCCAAATGTTCAAAATAGTGCGGAAACAAAAATCAAGCAAATGACTACAAGGAAGTTAAAATTGTTTTAATTTAGGGCTGCAACTAATAATTATTTCCAATGAGTCTGTTGAGCAGTTTTACAATTAATAGCCGTTTTAAACAGGTTGGCTTCAAAATTGCCGTTTAGCTATAATACAAGACAAATAAAAGCATATTATCACCGCAGAAAAGACGAAACCAGCCAAGTTTTGTGTTTTGTGTTGAAAATCTACTCTGCTGATACCCGATTATTGCAGTAGCTGCCGATTTTCTCTACTTACATCGAGTAACGTTAATCGGTTTGTTGACAAACGTCTTGTTTGAGCTCTAAAGGTTTCGTTTACTAGTTGCTACTAGTTAAACCAGTATACTCGACTTACGGCTGAAATGGTTGAGACACGCGATGTCTACGATCTTCCCCCGAAACTTCATTTTGAATTGTGATTGTAAAATTTACTCTCTGTACAAAGTGATGTGCACAATTGTGTCAGGCGGGATTTTAATCCAGATGCACAGCGTTTGTTTGGTCCGTCGGTGTCCAAGGTCCGACGGAAACGGCAACCAGTGTAAAGCTATTCAGCGTTCCGTGAGATGAAAAACCAACCCTGTCTTCTGGTTCACCCTTCTTTTGTGTACGTTCACTTTTTTCCAATGTGAAAGATCGGTTACACTGTGAAAGACGTGAGTGCGTTGTCCACCGCTGGTTAACACATTCAGGACCACTTCTGCCACTGAGCCTGTAGGGGGCGGCATGGAGCTGGAGTCAATCCCAGCCAGCACAGGGCAAGAGGTGGGGTCCACCTGGCCAGGTGGCCAGCCTGTCACAGGGCTGACACACACGGACAGACCACCACTCAGCTACTGGTTCAGAGCCACCAGTCAACCTGCATGTGTTTGGACTGTGGGTGAAGCTGGAGTCTGCGCCGGAAACCCACGTTTCACATAGAGGCACTGTGAGTATTAGGTTTCCATGTTGTATATTTAAGATTTTGTCTCTAGTGGTTAATACATGTCATGTTTGTTGTGCTTCAGCTCCTTGTGGTCTAATAGGTGTTCAGTTCAACAGGTGTGTGGAGACGAGGTGACTGAGCTGGTACATATGAAAACTAAATAACACTAAATAAAATCTTTTCATTAATTTACAACCATCTACTCAAGTGCTGTGATTAGGATTGTTTATGCCTTTTTTAAAAAATCCTTTTCAAACGTTTAAATCCAGTCATGTCAGTGTGGCTCTGTTGTAGCTATAAACACCCCCACCCCTCTGTTGTGGGGGTGTTTACAGCACAGATGAACAGCACTTGGGGCATAGCCTCATTTCTAAGAGAACTAGTACAGATCAATCATCACAGCTGCCATGAACAGGTCACTTGTAAACTTGGGTAAAGGATTGAGTAAATCTAAAATCTGCCGTATTTGTACTGAAGCAACCTAATGAAGTATCTGTAAAGGGTCATTTGTGGAAGTGAAGCACTTCATACTCAACCAAAGAGAAAATAAAAGAAGAACAGGGTGTATTCAATGATAGCCAACAAAGCACAAAGAAGGCAGAAGGCTTACACACCCAAGTCATCAGTGTCCGTTTATATAGTGCAAACTAACGTATCAGCACATGAGAAAATGCACAGATATCAGTGTGTAACAGTCGTTCACTTTCATGACTGAAAACTTCTAACCCGTCGCCACCATCATGTACACTTTACCAGATTTCAGCCTCTATGGTCTCCATCATCTGTCTGAGCTGGTGCTCCCAGCCAATTGAAGTTGAAGAATAGGCCGAAATTGATTTGGCCCACTGCGATGGACTGGCAACCTGTCCAGGGTGTACCCTGCCTTCGCCTGATTGCCAGCTGGGATTGGCAGCCCCCCCGCGACCCCATTTGGGACTGAGCAGTATAGAAGATGAATGAATGAATGAATGATTTGGCCCATGGAACTCTAGTTATTCACTTCACCAAATAAAGTTATGGATTCTGAGCACCAGCTATCCCGAGGCAGTAACCAGGCAGCAGAGGGTTCCAGTAATTCTCTGCCCCCAAATCCAGGTTATTTCAGGACTTTGGACTCATGAAGACTTCTATATATTGAAAGTTATATGTGACAGAGTATCAGATGACAAATGTGTGGTTCTAATGTCAGTAGATTTATACAGAATATGTAGTATGTGTCCAGCCTGATCACATGGCATCTTTTGGAAAGACATCTTCTGTCTGTACAGCCCAGATTCATTTAAACCTATAACGATAAAGACAGTAAGAGTTACTGTCAGGTAATCTTAGACACATGATCACAGCCAATATCTTATCTGACTGGCCAGAAAATGATGGTCCAAGCTCTACTGACCTCAGTCTTCAGTCTCCATTGTGGACTCTCCAGTCCAGCAGATAGCAGATTCGCTCCTGTGTTCTGCACTTTGTTGAGGCTCAAGTCCAGTTCTTTCAGATGGGAGGGGTTGGACTTTAGAGCTGAGGCCAGAGAAGCACAACCTTCATCTGTGATCTGACAGCCCTTCAACCTGCACAGAGGAGGGTTTGATCAAACCATCACTAGCTTTTGGATTTGCACAGAGGAAAGAGAGATTCTGTACCTCAGAGCCTCCAGTCGACAGTGTGGACTCTCCATCCCAACACACAGAAGACTCACTCCAATATCCTGCACCTTGTTCAGGTTCAGGTCCAGTTCTCTCAGATGGGAGGGGTTGGACTTCAGAGATGAGGCCAGAGAAGCACAGCTGGTCTCTGATAGTTCACAGTTATGAAGTCTGTAATTACCGAATAAACAGTCAGGACTCCTGCCATGTAATCCTGGTGTTTGTATATGTCCAGATTAGAGGAAACCATGATGCAACACTACCATGACCCCCCTCTTCCTAATGCCAAGAACCCAGGAAGCAACAAGACACTGGCAGCCCTCACAAAGGATTAGACAGATGAGGGGCGGTGCAAAGTCAAACAAAAGAAACCAATCAAAAGTAACAGTCAAAATTTAATGCACACTGCCAAATGGATGGGATCTGTGTAGATGCAGAGACAGCTCCATGTTAGCCATCCTACCCACGATGGTGGTACTTGTTTCAGCAGCTTTGCTGACCCACATTGTACACAAACATGCCAGGAGAAGGTTCAGCAAGATGCAAAGATGCAAAGATCCACAGCTAGTGATGTTCCCTCTGATACCGAGGCTCCGAAGCTTGCTTCCAACTCGGAAGGATATTTTTCTGAAGCACTGTGCTGGAGCTTGCTTCAAATCAGGAAAAACCACGTGACTGATGACGTTCGAAGCACTTCTGCTTCATTCAGATTGAATCAGATGACTGGTTTGGTTTGACAGGCAGAGCTTTGAAACATTGGAGCAATACAGATGTATTTCAGATGGATGAAACAGCGCTCTGTCCTACGTCTTGTCAGCACATTTTGGATTGACTCGCTATGGAGCCATCAAGGAAACAGTTACAAGTGTGGGGAAATTTTGAATTGGTGCCACTGAATAAGATAAATTATATTCCCAAGATTCAAGCCTTATTGTCAAGTCTGTTATTAATACAATGGATGTCCAAGTTTATGGTCCCCTCCAAATAAACACAGGAAGAATAAATCACACACTGATCTCACTGTGATTTCATAGGTGCAGTGTTTGTGCTGTCCTCAACAGCTGATGTATAACAACACGTCATCAATGCCTGTTAATGCTACCAGGATGACGTGTCCGTCCGCTAAGTGTGTGTGTGAGATGTGTGTACGCAGTCAGTGACAGAGCCGCTCTGTCACACAACCTAAACACATTTATACTTATAACACTTGGCTTTCACAATTCAGCCAATGCTGATGCAGCTATGCGCCGCTTGAAGTCAGAGTGTGCTGCCTTAATCCAAAACGCACCTCATGACAACGTACCATCAACACCAGCACAGCCAGAACCTGCTGCGGCTTTCACGGGTACACCATTAATCACATTTGTATTTATATATTTATTTGTATTTAATTGTATGCTTAATAAATGTCCTGTAATGTTTTATTTTCAGGCATTGACCTGTGGAAGCTTCTTGACAAAGATGCAGAAGAAGACAGAAAATCTCAGAACGATACTGCAGATTCCATTGTGGAGGTTCAGTGATATCTGTCTGCTCCTCCTCTGGACAGATCAAAGGACCCCTTAGGTTACTGGTGAGGCACAAATCCCTGTACCCACACTGTTCAACCTGGCCAAACAGTTCCTGGTGAAGGAAGATTACTTAAGTATTCAAATTCAAAAGGCAAGGAAGAAAAACAGACACATAAAATGAAGTTAGATTTCAGCTTTATTTAGGTAATTTCCACATTACAACAAAACTCATCATTAAAACAAAACTCATGCACACGCAAGGTGCATCAGTTTCACCTTTGCAAGGCTGCACAACAACCACTGCACCAGCAGATGTCACTCAATGAATGAAGCTTCAAGTAGTGAACCAATTTTCAATACAATGGTCCAAAAAGGTTCAAAGCTTCATGGGGCCTGGTATGGCCATCACTGTCCACAGCACAGGAACTGTCAGCGTGGAAAACAACATGACATATAATACATACCACGAAATTATGTCTGTTACGGGGTATGCGAGTTAGGTAAGGTAATGCAAGTTCAGTTAATGCTCTGGCGATGACAAAAGTCAGCAGATAAACTGACCTCAGTGTCTGCAGTTGACAGTGTAGACTGTCCAGTCCAGCACACAGCAGCTTCACTCCTGAGTCCTGCAGGTCATTTCTGCTCAGGTCCAGGTGTCTCAGATGGGAGGGGTTGGACTTCAGAGCTAAGGCCAGAGAAGCACAGCTGGTCTCTGACAGTCCACAATTAGCAAGTCTGTATTTAAATGGATGATATCTACATCAGAGATGCTGTGGTAAATTCCTACCACCATCTACACACCACAGCACAAACATAAAAACAGATGGTGAAGCTTTGGTTTCCATTCACCTTTTACTAAAACAATCACAGATTTCTACAAGATTGCTTCTTCCAGATTTCTCACAACCATTTGCTTACATGTCTGCCTGTGACTGTTTCATGTGATGCCATGGTAATCAGCCTTAATGAAATTTCTACTGCATAACATTAAGCAACTATTGCTGAGAGGTAATACTGCTGTCTTAGATTGGTATTGGATGTGCACTTCTCAAAAGTTTCAGAAAGTGATTTTAATTTTTTTAAGGATGTTCTTGTCTCTGTGTGCCATTTAATGTCAATACCCAGAATCTTCGAGCAGTTTAAGATCTACAAGAGCAAAAGACGGTAAATGGACTGACGAAAGTGATTCCAGTTGACAGTGTGGACTCTCCAGTCCAGCTGACAGCAGCTTCACTCCTGAGTCCTGCAGCTTGCTTCCCCTCAGGTCCAGCTCTGTCAGATGGGAGGGGCTGGACTTCAGAGCTGATGCCACGACTTCATAGTGAGCGGCTGAAAGCCAAAATTCACCAAGTCTGAGAGTACAGGATTAATGTGAAGTCAGTGATGTAAACTTAACAAACACTGTCTGCACAAAAAGACACAAAACACAATAGTAATAGAAAATAATTCAAGGACAAGGGAAAAGATGCAAAATACATTGAATTATTGAATTGAATGAATTATTACAACAGATCAGAGAGAGAACAAAACACTGTTGTGTTTTTGATGCAGCAGATATTTGGAGGCACCTGGACCTGTTTTAGAAACTTTATTACATTTTGACATTGTTATTTCTCTCTTCATAGCCAGGTCATGACAAACTGGAGGCTTGTCCATCCTTTCAGTCTGTTACCCTAGAAAAAGTGACTGAGTAAAGTTACATTTGCTGCTGTTGGGTGTGCCGGTTCTGCAATTTGATGTTCTCTCCATTTATTGACCTTTGGTTTGCACATTTGAAACAGATCCTATGTTTGAACCAAGTTGTCATCAGATATTATGGTTTTAGAAATTTTTCCCGAAGTTCTGTCCAGCACATTTAGTTCTTTGTGTCCAAAAGCAGCAAACAAGTATAATGAGGAAGTTATATTTTTCTTTGCGTCAGTGTGTGAAAATAATAAATCAAGGTCAGTCTTGTCTGACTATGTATCTACCAAACCCATAGTGTGGGTTTGGTTTGGTTACTGTATTCATATTTCAGTGACAGTGGCTGGAGCACATTGTCTCAGGGAAGACTAGATATGGGTTTAGGTAGGTCAGTTACGACTTGGCAGGCACAGGGGCGCATCAGGTCCCTGTTTATTACAGTGACGTTTATGCACATTATGGGTACCGGTAAGTCTGGTGGAACAAGAAGATTTTATTGCCCCTTTGTCAAAAGAGATTTTAGATCTCTGACTGATTAATTGGTATCAGTCTAATATAAAACCACAGTCTTCGCTCTGGAAGACCTGAGTTCTTTGATTAGTCACCTGCTTGAACAACTGCCCCTCATTGGTGGATCAGCTCCTCACAGGCAGTTTGATTCAGCATTTCCGAGATGGTTCACGTTGCCTGGTTGCAACAGGATTGCGTGTCTGTTCTTACCAGGCTGTTTACCTGCAGACTTGCACCCTGTTGTCATTTTCTAGTTACCTGATTTAACCCCGACTTCAGAAACTGTGACTCAGAGGCAGTAGCTGCACAATGTTGTAAAATGATGTTAGAATCTGGACCCACCGAGCCTTTCTGCAGTTCCTCACAGCTGGGACCAATCTCAGTCGACCCTTCCATGATGTCTTGTACTTCTCCAGGTCCAACTCATCCAGAACCTCCTCTGACATCTGCAGCATGTAGGCCAGAGCTGAGCAGTGGATCTCAAAGAGTTCCTTCTCTGACAGGGACTCTTGGATCTCCTGATGGACAGAGTGGTCGTTCAGCTCTGTCAGGACAGAGGAAGATGTTGATGCTTCTGTCAGGAGAAATAAACTTGGCCTCCATCCACTTAAGGTTGTCGATGGCTCTCTGGATGGTTTCTGGACTGTTCTCTGTCTGACCCAGCAGGCCTCCTAAAAGTCTCTGGTTGGACTACAGACACAGGCCATAAAGGAAGCGGACAAACAGGTCCAGGTGGCCAGTTTGACTATCCAGGGATTTCTCCAAAGCTGTGCACAAAAAGCCATCTAGAGATGGGTAATGTTGAATGTCCAGATCATTATCTTCATCATAATCAGTCAATGAGTCACCATCATCAATTTGATCTTCCAGAAACAGCGGGACCATTGCTTCTTGTCAGAAACATGACTCCTCTTCTCTCTGTGGACACGAAGAAAAGTCTGTGGTTAGTGGACATTGAACAAATGCTGCCTGGAGACACAGTAATTGAAGAAACTCTTCATAATGACAGAACCTGTTCTTCTGTTATCCTACAGATTTTTGGCCGATTGTTTTGAAATTATTTAAATTTACTAATCATATTCTGTTATACTTAAACCTATTTTTCCATTTTCCTTCATATGTGAAGTCAGCTGTAGATCTACAACTAATTACACAGTGCTCTTGTAAAGCAGAAAGTGAGTGGGCGGAACACACTATTAGGTTTCCCCGGGGACTTTTTCACTGTATCACTGCTTTGAGAAGACAGACATTTTGTTTTCTTTTAGAGCAGTTTGGCGTTAGCTTGTCTGGTCCAGCTGGTCGTGTTAAATGGTGTTATTGGTACATCCACTACATTGTCTCTTGCTTGGCGATGTGCTACTGTCCCTCAGGTTGGGAACCACTGAGAAGACCAGTATCTTATTTTGTGTCTCAGGGTCCAGCTTAAGCACTGAAGACTGGGTGAAGTCCCGTGGAGCCGTTGCTCTTCTGTAGTCCTGACCTCTATAGACACAAAGGTGAGTTTAAATCATACTTATACTTATGACCATGTGATATTTCAGTTTTTCTTTTTTAATAAATCTGCAAAAATGTCAAAAATTCTGTGTTTTTCTGTCAATATGGGGTGCTGTGTGTACATTAATGAGGAAAAAAATGAACTTAAATGATTTTAGCATATGGCTGCAATATAACAAAGAGTGAACAATTTAAGGGGGTCTGAATACTTTCCGTACCCACTGTATGTGTTCCAGTGTCCCCTGATTTTGGCACCAGTTTCCCTTGTCACGTGTGAAATTTACACACGTGGCACCACAGCAGTAATTTATTCATTAACTTTAGTCAGTGATATTAAATACTTCAGTCCTCTGTGTCTGCTCAGACGTACCAGCCTCAGTGCTTCTACAGGAAGCTGCTGCACACACTGAAGCAAAGTCATGTGACAAGTATGAGGGGCCGTATAAGACATTATGTATTCTCGACATTTCACACACATATATGGCTGCAATATAACAAAGAGGGAAAAATTTAAGGGGGTCTGAATACTTTCCGTACCCACTGTATATTCTCCTTACACATACATATATTAATTCCTCCACTGAAAGGAGAATATATGTGTGTGAAAGGAAAATATATGTAAGTGAGAGGAGAATATATGTGTGTGCGTGCATGAGTATAGTGGAAAAGGAAGCAGTATTGTAGAAACGGCGGGAGATAATGCAATGTGATTGCTAAGCACAGGTAATGCACGTAAGTTCCGACAAGCATGGACGGAGGAAATGAGGGACGAGTACTGCAGCAAGCCATTGGTGTTCTAAGAAATATTCTCCTTTCCCCTGAAACTGTAACGTCGTTGTCTTCCTCCGTTGTTCAACAAGCGACAGGCGATGTGGCCAGGGTAGCCCACAGCTCGGTGGAAAGTGAGATGAGAGAACTTTTCAGCCCTGG